GACCGGAACCTTTCTATGGATCTCAGGACCTCCGTGCTGGAATCCCCTGCACCCCCAACAAAAAACAGGGTATTGCACAATGTTCTTTAGAGGGGAGGAGACTCCCAAGTGGTACTGGCGCAGGGAGGGCAGTCGTCTGTGGATACCTCTCAGTAATACTCAACCAACGGGACTGCTCAATCAATGCAAGGGCCTCCCAGTGCTCAGACCGTTAAATCCTCCCCAGTAGTGTTTAGAGGCCTCCAGGGATGTCCCCCAGAGGTGGCAGGGTAGGGGGGAAGGGAGTCAAACCCTAGCCCCCAGAATCAAACTCTGGCCTCCACGTGCAAAGCCTGCGCTCTGGCTGCTAGCGGGGAGGGGAGGGTGTATCGATCACATGAGAGTGACCGTGTTGAGTCCACACTTTCCCTGAGGACAGGAAGTCAACCAGACAGGAGGATCACAGGCAGCTCTACCTTCCCAGCCCTCTGCTAAAGAGAAAGGGAGTCTGTTCTTTTATGGTTTAAGAACCTGAGTCAGAGCTTCCCCGAGAGCCTCGCAAACACCCCATCACTCCAATCTAGCGCATAAGCCCACGTTTCCGACTCTGCCCCCAGCAGAGCTCAGGGTGAGCTGGCGCTGGGCTGGCCTGGCGATGCCCCCGGAGACCCCTGCTTCTTAGCCCCACGGAGGGGGGCTCCCACGGAGCCCCTTCCCTCCCTCAGCGGCAGGCTCGGGACCACAGACACGCTGCACCAGGATGCAGGCGACACGCGCACCGCAGGCAGGTGACCCGAGTCTGTGGGAAGCTGCACCCTAGGAAGGAAAACGCAGCGGGAGCTTTAACCGGCCACTCGCGGTGGGCTGCCAGCATTCTTCTGCCCCCGGAGAAGCCTGGGCGCTGCTCCTCGGTTTGACAAGTTCAGAAACCCAACGCGCTAGGCTGCTCTAGTGCTGATGGGACCCAGGGGCATTGAGTCATGCAGCCGGCAGTCACAGGAGGCTGAGTGATAACCCAGAACGTCAATTAGCCCATTTGATGGGGAAGGTTCCACCTCCCTGTGTTTGAACTACCCGTGACCCCTTTCAACCCTCACTAGTAGGGAGAGGGCTGACACCGGAATCAAGAACCAGCCAGGAGAGATGAAGAGAAAACTGACAAGCAACCTGATGTACAAATCCGCCACGTGCCCTGCCTTCGATGCTGGGCACGCTGTAGGCTTCATGAATTCGCACCCTTGGAGAGGCGCCCTCGCCAGCATGAGGCTGTCAGCATTGGCATGGCTGAGCAAACTGCGAAACGGTTCTCACGCCCAAGAAAGGGACCAGAGCGTGGGGACGAGTCTTCTCAAGGGCGTCTCATTCTTGGGCTTTCACTTTGGTCTTTGCTCCACTGGAGTACACATCTTTTATTGTGTTGTTGTTGGTGGTGGTGGTGGTGGCGTGTGCGTGTGCGTGTGTGTGTGTGTGTGTGTGTGTGTGTGTAAGTGGGAATACACGGGTTACTCCTGGTTCTTTGTAGAGGAATGACCCCTGGCAGGCTTCGGGGTTTTGGGGCAGGGTCATTATTGGTCCCCGAGTTTGTTCAGATCTGCAGGAAGTGAGACAAACACCTTATGCTCAGTACTATCTCTCCAACCCAAAACACTTTTTTTTTTATGACTGGAAAGGTTAGAAAAGAATATCTAGTGCTGATTCTCGCTCCGTATCTTAACACCTTCCCGGAAACGCATTATACACAATCACAATGTGTTGATTCTAAATCACACACATTTTTTTTCTGGTTCATCTTTTAAAAAACCAGCTGCCTCCTGTCTGGACAAGGCAAACACTCAGATAGCGGTTTCCAACTCAGTGGTCTGGGCAGGACCTTGGAATCTGCATTTCTAACAGGCACCCAAGTCATGCTTATCAAGGGACCACACTTTAAGATGCATGGTTCAGAGAGAATGGTTCAGGGATACAGACAAGGGATACAGGGATACTCTCCCTGGGATACTGTCCCTGCTGTGCTCCCAATGCCTGCTTTCACTGAGGACAGTATGTAAGTATCTGTCCCTACCTAGGTAGAAATTTATGCTGTGTGCTCAGTTCTCTGCTCAGGGATTCCCATGAGCTGTAGTCTCTCAGCTATGTGCACGCAGCACTATATCTTACTGAAGAACTCAGAACTTTAAAAAAACTTTTTTTGGGGGTGAGGTGGGACGCACTATCTTGGTTCAAAGGGAAGATGGTTCAAAGGGCTGGAGTACAAACTTTGGATGCAGGAGGCCCAGATTTGATCCCCAGCACTCAGGTGGTCCCCTAGGCAGAGCTGGTAGCAATCCCCACACCGGAAGTAGCCCTGAACACACCAGGTGTGGTCCCCAAACCAAAATAATAATATAATAATGAATAATACTAATAAATGCAGCATCATTCGGAAACATTTACCACTTTTTCTTCCCTTCATTGCCGTTGTTGTGATGAGGGTTGCACACCGGTGTGGTGCTGTCTCAGAAAATCTCTCACTTTCTCAATGAAAGGCCAGTCCCCCTTGACTTTGCCTCTTGTCATTTCTTCCTGAACTTGTTTTTGATGGGAGATTTGATGCTCAGAGTCACTTGGGGCCCCGTGCAATGCTGAGGGGTGAACCAGAGTCAGAGGCATGAAAGGTAAGTGTCTTAACCCCTGTATTATCTCTAGCTCTGAACTTTCCCCCGGTCCCCTGCCCCCCTTACGTTATCTACGTAGTATCTTAGTATTTACTAAGTTCCTACTCAAACTTCCCCCTAAAGGACTCACCAAAACCCCCATCTTTACATTCTCAGTGTTAAGTACAGACCAAAACAGTACACATACATCATGTTTGTTCTACAGATTACCCTTCATAAACTTTGATTCAAGATACCCAAGCAATTTCTATAGCTGAATCCACATTTTTGTGGTTGTTGTTTTTTGGAGGTTCATGCCCGGCAGTGCTTGAGAGCTGTGTCTGGTGGTGACCAGGGGACTGTGATGTGGGGACAGAATCCAGGCCTCGTGCACTCGTTGGCTCAGGCTGGTGAGTCGTTTCCCCGGTCCTGTCTCCAAATTTTTATGGAAATACTTTAAACATATAATTAAACGTTCAGAGAAAGGAATTATGGTGGGCTGGAGCGATAGCACAGCGGTAGGGCGTTTGCCTTGCACGCAGCCAACACGACCAACCCTGGTTCGATTCCTCTGCCCCTCTCGGAGTACCTGGCAAGCTACTGAGAGTATCTCGACTGCACAGCAAAGCCTGGCAAGCTCCCCATGATGTATTCGATATGCCAAACACAGTAACAAGTCTTACAATGGAGTTGTTACTGGGCCCGCTCGAGCAAATTGATGAACAATGGGAGGACAGTGGCAGTGACGGGTTGGGTAAAACTGTAAAGATGATAGCACCTAGGAGAGAAATAAAGAGCAGAGACAGGGTGGAGCACAGGGACAGTGTGGGTTGGCTTGCCTTGCACACGGCCAACCCAGGTTGAGTCCGAGGCATCCTGTATGGTTCCCTTAGTACTGCCAGGAATAATTACTGAGTGCAGAGCCAGGAGTGACCCCTGAGCATTGCCAGGTGTGGTTCAAAAACCAGGATTTGGGGGTGGAGACCAGAGACAGAAAAGGCAGAGGAAGTACTAATATTTGACTCTCTGGGACTAGGGGTTCGAGATGGAATTGGTGGCAGAGGCGGGGATTAGTAACTGGAGAGTCTTACTGAAACATCAACTTTGTATAAAGAAGAGTCCCCCAAGAAAATAAGCAGAAAGTATAAATGGGGGTATGAGGGTAACACCTAATGGCTAAGCATTTTTTTGTTTTTTGGTTTTTAGTGCCATGTCCGAAAGTGCTCAGTGCTTACTCCTGGCTCTGTGCTCACAGACCATTCCTGCAGGGCTCATACGTGATGCTGGGGATGGAAGCAGGATCCAGCATGTGAAGGGTAAATGTCCTACCTGCTGTACTGTCTCTCCAGTCCAGTAGTTCGGACTGTATTCCAGGGACTAATCGTATTTTATATTGCACAGGGCATGTGAATCTCATATAAAAACCTGCCACCACGATGTTTGCTGGGGGTCTGGGATATAGTACAGTGGCTAGGGCACTTGCCTTGCATGCATCTGACCTGGGTTTGGTCCCTGACACCACAGCCTGGGTCATCCCTGCAGGCTCCCGAGCACCACAGGGGTGGTCTTGGTGGTACCTAGGGCCCATACAGCATTACCATCTTGGGCCCTCGCACTAATGGCTTGGTTGGCTAAGTACTTCCATGAGTGGCCCCTGGTGTCCTGTGAATAGTCTTTTGGGAACCCCCCACATCCCCTGCAAAAGAGAATGTTGAATTTTAACCAAGTTGTAATCTGGTGCGCAGACCACTGGGATACTCTGATAAGCAAACTGAGAGCTTGATATAGGATTGTGCCACTAAGAGAAAGTAGATGTAATACTTGACAAATCTCATCAAATTTAGGAATATTTATGTATGTGTATGTATGTGTACATATATACATCTCATTTAACGGTTTTGAGACTGGAACACACTTTTTTATTTTTGGGCCACACTGGCACATCTTGGGGATTGTGCCATGCTAGGAACTGAACTCTGGGCTCCCACATGCAAAGCACATGCTCCAACCCTCTGAGACCTGTCCCCAGGCCTTGATATATGTTTCAAATCTCTGAAGTTGAAATACAACTTATATCTAATTGCATGTCTTGTCAAATTTCTTCGATGTTTAACAGCAAGTTAAATAATGCTAAGTCTTTGAGTTAATATAGTCCTTGATTCAATAAAATATGACAACTGGATGTGAAAGAAAAGTAAGGGATGCTAAGAGAAAGCTTTCAACCTGGGAAACTGGAAAAATTCTTATTCCTAACAAATCAGGTAGTTTCCCTGAAGCCGGGACACGAGCTCGACCCAATCTTCCATTTGAGCAGTAACTTGGAGCTGGCATGGCTGCACATATGCCCTCTCCATCTGAACTTCTTAATAATTTGAAATAATAGGAAGTACTTATTAATGGAAACTTTAATATGAGCCATGGAGGGCACGCGGTCTCTGGATCTGACGATGGAGAATCTATCCCAGCAATACAGAACAGCGGTCACTTGAACAAGCGGAACTTCTTCAGGTACTGGCTCACTTCCTCCTTGGGGTAGGGGCGGAGAGCAAGACAAGTGGCCACATTCTCGGGCTGCTCCAACCACAGCAGGTGGTCAATATTCTTCTGTTGCAGGGTCTCAGCCAGTTGCTTTAGGGTGGTCTCATCTGGGGCCTACAAGGAGCAGAACAATTAAAGAGCCCATTTGGGAAGTGTCAAAAGGCAAAGGGTGGGGTGGGGGGAAGGGGAGTGTGAGTTTCTCCTAATGGAAAGCAGAGGACCAGCTCTCAGAAAGCATCAGTCAGGGCACTTTCTCTAGAAGTGGGGTACACTCTCCAAAGGTCCCTGGGTGTGGGGCAGGGGCAGGCAAGGGAGGAATTGTATCTCCCCTTGCTGTCTGCATTGTCAATATTTAGGCTCTGTACCATCCCAGATTTCTCACAGCCGTTGCCCAGTCATCCCTAAGCCTTCAGCCAGCTCTGACTTGACTACTGGGAGGGTATCTAATATCATGGTCCGACTGCTCTGTCAGCTCTGCTGACCATCTTCTGCTCAGACTCAGAAGCAATTCCCTTCTGCTGGGATGGTTCCACTTATTAACTCAAAGGTAAACTCTCCTCTAACAGCCTTCTGAAAGGGTTCCGTGACTCCTTGTCCCCCAGGCTGGACCCAAGCAGGGGAAGCATCACTCCGAAAACTGTGTATGCTGATGAGTATCAGGTGCGCTTCTTGCCTGTGAAGGCAGGCCACTGGATAACTCAGGGCCTGTCTTACCAGTTGAGAGGACCGTGACCTCTAGAGTCCTTCCGGCAAAGCCTCACTTGAACTCACACTCCCTGCTCACAGCTTCAGCAGGGAGAGCAGCTGTGGGCAGTGAGAAAGTGTGAGTCCCAACCCTGGCTCTGCTTCTGATGCTGGGGTGGCTTTGGGTAAGTCACATGACTAGCAGGGTCTTTGTTTCCCCTTTGTAAAACGTGAGATGGCGGTGTTTCGTAGTAGCAGTGAAGATGCAGTGAACTTAAGTCTCAGACCTGGCATGGGGGAAACGTTTGCCCAACATATAGCATTAGTCCGAGTTTAGCCAGGCTGGCTGTAACAGCACCTTATGCAGTGGTGTGTCCTAAGGCCATTTCTTGAGAGTTGGCTGGCAACTAGGAATTATCAGTCGTCTTTTAAACTTGGGAATCGCTTCATCTCTGTGGCTTTCAGTGTGAAAAGCCATTTGCGAAAAGGGGTAAATACACTCTCTGCCTGAAAATGTATGTGCTTGGTAGGGGGTGGTGGGTGGGAGGGAACAGAGTCTGAACCATGTGATTTACATCCTGTGATTTCTTGAGGCTTTCTTCCTGTAAAAAGAATCTGAATGAGACGTTAGCTGCTTCTTTTCTGCCACTTAGCAATGATTAAGACATTTTCCTACAGGTTATTTATTGCTGGTTGTTTCATTACCTAACAGGAATTCTTCCCTTAGAAGATAATGTTTGCTAGCAATGACAGAATGACTCTTACCTCTCCACTCCTGAGTCCTGGTTTATTAAAATAAGTTTTATAGTAAGGTAAAAAAAAAAAGTTTTTATAGTCAATTTTTCTTATCATAAAATTAAAATAAAAAAATCAAACGAATTAAGTCTTAATTAAGACTTCGCTCCCTCCCACCCACCACCCCCTACCAAGCACATACATTTTCAGGCAGAGAGTGGATTTACCCCTTTTCGCAAATGGCTTTTCACACTGAAAGCCACAGAGATGATGTGACTCCCAAGTTGAAAAGACAACTGATAATTCCTAGTTGCCAGCCAATTCTCAAAAGCATTAGGACATAAAGTCCTACCAACCACTATTTAATATCTGGTACTTAACTTTTCATTTCAAATCTGGGTCATTTGATATGAAAAGTCCAAATCAGTATCTCATGCTGGGCACTTCCATGCCAATTAAACGTGCTCCACAAGCATTTCTGCTACTTTCCTAATAATCCATTATATGCACATAAATTGCATATATTGGACATTCAGTAGTTTGCAAAATGTCTGTCATACAATGCTGCTGTGAATATCCTTAGGCAAATCCCTATCGGTGCACCTGATTATTTTCTTAGGATATATTTCTAGCAACATAACCAACAGAATTCTTAATAGGTCGGGCCTATTAAGTCATCTGCAAAACAAACGTCACCTGAGTTTGATTCAATACCCTAAGCGTCTGGTATTTCCTGAAATTTCCTGATGGAGTTGGGTATTTAAGGTTCAATTTAAACCAGATGATTACTCTCATCTGACATCACACCCGGTCAAATGCTTCCGTTCCACACCACCAGCTTTTGTTTTTTTCCTTTGGGGGGGAAAGGGGGCACACCGGCGGTGCTCAGGGATTTCTCCTTGCTCTGCACTTAGACGGTGCTGGAGGACCAGACGGGATGCCGAGGACCGAACCCGGGTCACCCTCGTGCAAGGAAAACGCCCTAATCGCTCCACGGTCGCTCCTGCTCCAAGTCACTCGTGTGCTTAGACCTCCAGCATCAGTTTTGCAGGGTGACTAGGAAGGGCCGAACTTGAACCAAAGGCCGGCGTGGCGCCGGCCTTTAAGAAAAGGCGGGGCCTCGCTCCATCAGCCCCGCCCTCAAACGCACCTCGGACGCCGCCCGCAGGTGAGACTCGAGGTACGCGAAACAGCTGAAGCCCCAGCTCCTTTTCCGGAACATAAAAACCCCGCCCCCTCGAGTGCCACATCCAATCACAAAGTAGACACCACCCCCAAACGCTCAAGGCCACGCCCACAAGTCAGATTCGCCCCGAGCCACTTCCGGCCCCGCCCTGCCTTCCCGCCCATCGCGCCGTACCTCGAGGACCACCTTGCGCATGCGCTCCAACTCCTGGAGATAAGCGACCGTGTGCGGGTGGTCACGGTGAAGGTGTAAGGCCGCAGTGGCCGCGTGGCAGGCCTGCGCTATCAGTGCGCCCGCTGGCCAGGAGAGTGGAGACTGCGATAGGTCCTTTCGCAACACCAAATACTGTACCAGGATCTGCGGCTCCGCGCTAGAGGCCGCCATTTTCCTGGCTAGCCGAAAGGCTGGCCCTGCCCCCCGGTGCATGCCGGGATGTGGGAGGGGCCCTGAGCGCCGCCATGTTTTTGTACGGCGGAAGCGCAAAGCACTCTGGGACGGCTCAGATGTGGGTGTTTTTTTTTTTTTTTCTTTTTTTTTGAATGCCAGAACGGCGGGAAAGCTTGTCCCTGATTTGAGTGAGCAGGAGGAGGCCAGGGGACAGACAGTGAGAGGGGACAGTGAGGCTCGTGGCCAAGGTGGAAGGTCTCTTCCAGCTCCTGCGTGCGCGGGAGAACCTGGCCGGGCTTGAGCACCGCGCCCGTTGGTAGAGGCCGGTCGGGGCGGCCACCGCCCCCTTGGACGCGCACCCCGGGGGCTGCAGAGAGAGAGCCCCAGCAGTGACACTGGGGGTACTGGCGGATTGTGCGTGTCGGAATCGTGTGTGGGTCTGTTCGAACTTGGGGAGAGGTGACTGCCTTGCCAGTTTTTCTTTGGGCCAGCAAGGGTGGTCTAGGCCCCTGGCCCTGCTTGGCCGGGACAGCAGCTTTAGGAGGCGCCGGCAGGGGCGGAGATGAAGCCGGCCGAAGCTTCGAGTCGATTCAGAGCGCCCAGAGGAGGTATGCCCGGAGTCGCCTTCGCTTGCCACCCTCCCCTGCCTAACGCGGAATAGTCCCAATTAACTTGGGACGGACTCAGGGGCGGGCAGCTCCCATACTGGCGGGGGGCGGTTGGGGGCAGGAAGAATTGCTTTGTTTCTCGGCCCAGCTTTCCCAGCGATGCTCGGGTTACTCCTGGCTCTGCGCTCAGGAATCACTCCCGGCGGTGCTCTGGGGACCCTATGGGATGCTGGGGATCGAACCCGGGTCGGCCGCGTGCAAGGCAAACGCCCTACCCGCGGTGCTATGGCCCCCTGCTCTTCAAACCGAGCTGCGTTCCTAACATGCCCAAGCGTTTGTGTTGGAGAGAGAGCTCTGGCGTTTTCCTCCTGGCAGGATTTGGAAGAGAGTGGCAGGGGTGTTGAGATCCGGTTTTGATATCCGGCTTTGGACCTTCTGAGTTATCCTGGCCTTGGACAAGCTTCTCCCTCTAGGAAATAGACGAATAATAGTGTTGTGCCGGTGGTTGTGGAGCTGGGTTCAGTGTTTACTTCAAAATCCCGTAGCGCAAGCCTGAGAGGAGTGTGCAGTGAGTGCTTTGTAGGTAGTTCCTCTGCACAAGAGCCTTTGACAGCTCCGAGAGGATGGGGGAAGTGTCAGGGAACTGGTTAGCATTTTGAGAGTAGGGTCTTTTTTTTTCTTATGGTGGAAAAGAAATTGTATTTAGGATTAGCCAGCTGGACTGTTTAGATGATCCCAATTCTGTTGGCAACATCCACGGCATCATAATCAGGAGCCAGCCGAACATACATCAGGCCTAATCAGGCTGTTGACCTTGGCTACATCAATGTCATAGAGCTTCTTCACAGCCTGTTTAATCTGGTGCTTGTTGGCCTTGACATCCACAGTGAACACAGTGTGTTGTTATCGTCTGTCTTCTTTATGGCTGACTCTGTAGTCAGAGGAAATTTGATGATGGCATAATGGTCAAGCTTGTTTCTCCTGGGGGCGCTCTTCTGAGAGTATTTGGGTTGCCTTCTCAGCCGCAGCGTTTTGGGTCTTCTGAAGGTGGGTGACGTGCGAATCTTTTTCTTTTTCTGGCTGTGGACGCCTTTCAGCACTGCTTTCTTGGCCTTCAAAGCTTTGGCTTTGGCTTCAACTTTGGAAGGGGCAGGGGCTTCCTTCTTGGCCTTCGGCACCATCTTCGTAAATAGGCGAGAGGTGAGAGTAGGGTCTTGATTGCGTTGGGCAGTCGTTCGGCTGGGGAGGGGGCAGGGCTGCCTTCTGCCTCTAAATTCCTGAGTGTCAGTGATGTCTTTCTCTGGCATCTGTAATATTTGTAGATCATTTGTTTCCAATAGCTCTTTTGGACCCTGTACTGCTAAATGCTAAATTCATATCTTGGAATTTAAGCTTAAGGCCTAGATCCAAAGCATTTCAGAGTGTTAGCACTTTAGGAAAACATGCATTTTAATTTTGTTGTTGTTTTGGGGCACACCTGGTGTTGCTGAGGGATTGGCCCTTGTGGGCTCAGGCGACCATTTGGGGTGCAGGGGATAAAACTCAGGTTCGCCTCATGCAAAGCAAGTGCCCTGCCCTCTGTACTATCCCTCCTGCTCCTCCTAAAATGCATTGTTTAAAGACAGCTTCTGGGAGTCAGTGAATGTGATCCTCGTTTCTTCTGGGTCCTTTATTGTGGATAATTCAGATTGGCTTTATTTAGATATCATACTTTTTCTATACCTTTCTTGGTGGCAACACCTGAGTGTTTAGCCTAAGAGGTGGCTGATCCCTGAGTTTCATTGTCAGCTTCTATGGTTTTACAAATTCTGACAAATGTCTGACAGTTTAGCTGACCACAGAGTTCTGTTCACCAGTGTTAGAAATCTTTGGCTTCCTCTGAAATTCCCTTGACTTTCCTTAGGTGTCTTAGCTCCCTTGGAAAGACTGGAGACTCAAATGAACAGATCGCAGAAACGCCTGAAAGAGCGAGCTGAGGAAAAGGATCTTAAAGCCAGAATTCACAAGCTGAGGCTTGTGCGGGATCAGCTGCGGGCCGAAGTAAAGCGGCGTGAGTCCACCGTGAGTAGCGGGCGGGCCGGGCGGGCTCTCGGGGAAAGCACACACACCAAATTTGGCAGATTTAGGTGTTGTGTATCTCCCAGTTGGCATTCAGTGCTTGGATCACACCTTTAAACGATCACACCTGTAGAACCCCAGCTCCTGACAGCGGAAGCTGATCGTTAGCAGGGCTTAGAGGCAGGGCAGCCTCTCCACTTGCCTGCATAGGTACGAGCTGTTGTTGTCTCATTGTCATTTTTCTCTTTTTTTTTCTTTTTGGGTCACACTTGACAATAGGGGTTACTCCTGGCTGATGCACTCAGGAATTACGCCTGGCAGTACTTGGGGGACCATATGGGATGCTGGGAATCAAACCTGGGTCGGCTGTGTGCAAGGCAAACACCCTACCCGCTGTGCTCTCGCTCCAGCCCCCTCATTGTCATCTTAAGTGAGTCACTGCCGCATTTGTCATTCATGCCATGTTGTTTCCCAAATACGAAACCTCAGTAGTGAACTTTGACTCTTCCCTCGTTGCAGTTTTCTCTTTGCCTCAGGATTAGACTAGACAGCAAGACCTGCCCAGTGTCCCTTTAGAGTACCCGCCCCACCCGCCATTGCCAAAGCAAGTGTTCAAGACTGTGGACCAGCACCGCGGGCTTGGAGGCTTGGGATTGGGGGTCCCCACTCACACAGGAAGACGAACCCCTGAGATGCCACTAGGTTGTAAGCCCGTGATAAGTAATAATGATAAGTAGTAGGAAACTTCTAGAATTCTCAGTTGCATGTTTATAAGGCAACTTGGATGCCGGGATTATTGCAGTAGTTTGCTAATTGGTTCTTTACTCACATTTCTGCTTCTCCAGTAAATCCTGCACTGCCGAGAAAATGCTTCATAAAACTACACGGTTGCTGGGGCTAGAATTGATTTCATGCCAGGCACCTTTCGGGGGGGGGGGGGGTGTTGTCCATGTGCCTGTATCCATGTGTGGAGAACCCCCAGTGAGTGTCTGTGTTTCTATGTGGGGGACAGCCACTGAGTGTGTGTGTCCGCATGTGTGGGAGCAGCCACTATGTGGGGACAGCCATGGGGGGGGGTGTCCATGTGTGGGGACAGCACTGTGTGTGTGTGTGTCTCCATGTGTGGGGATAACCACTGTGTGTGTGTGAGTGTGAGTGTGAGCATGTGTGTGCGTGCACGCGCAGGTGGTGACAGCCACTGGGGGAAAAATCTTCTAGAAAAGCTCCATTGTTCTTTGCCGTCCCCACCCCCCAGTCACCTGGCTGTTCTTGGGATAAAGTGGCCCTGCCTTCTTTCTCTTGCTTTCCCTCCCTCTGTTTTCTCTTTTCCCTTCCCTCCATTTCTCTACCTTATTATAGTAATATACACATATGTACGTAAGTCTACACAGTCGAGGACACCAGTGCGTAGACCTTTGCATGCAGAGTGCCACGGCCTAGTGGGTTCCACAGAGATCAGGGCAGAGTCCTCAAGCCTCAGAAATCTCCCTTTCGCCACTGATGAATTTCCCTTCTGAGTAAGGTAACTCCTAGTGTGGTTTTTGTCACCAGACATTTCATTTCACTTGTTTTCGAACTCATAAGTGTGCAAAGTATGAGTCTGGTTTCTTTTGCTGATTCGTCAGAAGTTGTTCCTTTCTGTTGCGATACAGCAATCTGTTAATAAGGACTTGTTAATAACTATCTTGTTAATAACTGCTCTGCTAATTTCTCTCTGTTACTACTGAGGACATTTGGGTTAGTTTGGACTGTTTCATTTGGGGCTATTTTTAAGAGTAATGCCGCGGGGAAGGAGAGCTAGTACTTCAGGCACTTGCCTTGCTTAATTAAGCCCACCAGGTTTGTTCTCAGACACTGCCAGGGGTCACTGCGGAACACCACCAGGCATAGCCCCAGAGCATCACTGGGTGTGGATTGCTCCGGGTGGGCTTGGAGGACCACATGTGGTGCCAGGGGTTGAACCTGGGCCATCCATGTGCAAGGCAAGCGCACTACCCACTGTACTGTAGCTCCAGCCCCAAACATTTATTTCTTTCAGATCTAGGAGTAGGCGATCCAAGCTGATGGCACCTGCGGACTCATCTTCTTCTCGGTTGGGGGCCTCCTCTTAACTCAGCTGGTGGGAGGGTCACTTTCAGAGAGAATTTGCCTTTTTGTTCTGACAGTGTCTGGGTTTGTCACTGTTCTGCATTTCAGGTGTTATTTCAGGCCTGAATATTCAAAATAAGGGTGTAGCCCTTATTTCAGGGCCCTCCATTGATGTGAGGGAGAGGGTTATCCCAGCCTTTCTCCCCCAAACACCAGTGTTTGGTGGATTCTCGGCCTAGGTTCTTAACTTCCAGCAGCTGTCTTCTGTTTGGTGTCTCAGTACAGTCATGTGTAGGCAGTGTCGGAATTGACAGATATGGGAGGTGGGGGGTGGGGAAATTGCATGGAGATTTTGGGTTCCCTCTCTACAGAATCAGTTTGGGGGCCACAGCTGGCTGGTGCTAAGGCTGCCCCGGGCTCTGGGCTAGGGGCTCGCTCCCAGCTGTACTCAGAACCCTGTGTGCCAGACCGAACTGTATCCATGTGTGTAGGCCTCTGACGCAGTGACCCTCGCACTCTCTCCTGCCCTGTCCTGTGGAGGACTCTTTCCCTAAAGACTGCTTTGGTGACCAGGATCTCATGGGTGTCCCCTCCCCAGCAGAGGCTGCTATGAAGCCCCAGCCTGCAGCCTCCCTTTGGAGCAGAGAGGAAAGTGGCACGTCACGCCGTTTCTCCTTCATCTCCAGTCTGGCCTTGGCTGTCCCCTTGGGCCCGCCACCATTCCTGGTTGTGGACTAGCACATGTGCTGCTTTGACTCCGTGTGTGTGTGTGTGGCAGAGTGAGATGCAGCAGTCCCCAGGACTTGCTCTGGGCTCAGTGACCGTTCCTGGGAGGCTGGAAGGGGGGGACCGTTTGTCTCGCCAGAAATTGAATGGGACCAACCATGTGCAAGGCATGTGCCTCTCTCCGGCCCCCTTGAGCTCTCTTCGGCCTTTGCTGTGTATCTTGCAGGTGCAAGCATCTGGCGCTGGCGTGGAGCCTGGCCCGCCCTTGGCGGTGAGCACGCAAGAGACTTTGGAAAGAAAAGAGGAAACGGTGAAAGCCCTTCTGCAGGCCTATCGCTTCACAGGTGGGCATTTCCTCTGCTCTCTCTCAGCTGCTCTTGTTCATTTGCTAGCTGTCCTGAGCCCTGGACATATATCCTAAGTCTTGATTTTCCCCCCCTTCGCCGCTCAGGCCTGGCATTCCCTTTAGACACATCCTTACCTGCGAGGTGACCGCTTCCTTTATTATTGGCCTGGAGCCATGCCCGGCAGTGCCTAGAGATCAGACAGTGCTAGGGACCCTACGCTCCAGCCCTCTGAGCTAATTCCCCCGACCCAACGTTGACCTCTTCGTAGCAGAAGAAAGGTCGGTGATGGCGACCTAGACCAGTATTCCTCAGCCCTCTTGCACCTGCAGACTGGCACCTAGCTACCTCCTGGCCCGTGGAGCCGCAGTTACAACCCTGACGGTAGATCAGCCATTTTCTGCCTTTCTGCACCTGTGAACCGGCCATTGACCCACCACTGCACTGGAACCATATTTCAGTTAGTTAACACATGCCAGACCTTAGTACTGGAACTTCTGTTACTTCTGACTTGCTTTACCTTGCTTCATGCCATGGGTCAACTAATTCTAATCCCAGATCCCAGGAATCATTGTCACTGTCCTTCCGTTGTTCATTGATTTGCCCGAGCGGGCCCAGTAACATCTCCATTTTGAGACTTGTTACTGTGTTTGGCATATCGAATATGTCACAGGTAGCTTGCCAGGCTTTGCAGTGCGGGCAAGATACTCTCGGTAGCTTGCCGGGCTCTTTGAGAGGGGCAGAGGAATCAACTGGCTGGCTGCGCGCAAGGCAAACGCCCTACCGCTGTGTTATCGCTCTAGCCCAGGAATCATTAAAATGGGGATTTATTCTGTGTTGCAAGAGCACATGGAAAATACAGGGAAGGGTCCCAAATTCAAGGGAAAGACGGAACAGGTAAATTGAAGTTTCCAAAGTCGGGCCAGAAGGCAGCTCCAGATGGTGGAGCAGAGAGCTCCCCGGGTATGTGGCTCGGGGTTCAGTGTCACCTTGGTAGCTGTTGGGCACGGCAGTCAGAGCATCTGGTCGGGCCTGCTGGGCATCTCGGAATCTCCCCCAGAACCTCCAGCACTGCTCTGGGTGACCCCTACTTTAAAAAAAAAATTTTTTTTTCAGTCCTTTCTCAGTAATTGGTTATTGGGATGTGTTTTTTTCCCCCACAACAAGCCAAGCTCCGTGAGAAGGGTCTGAGGCACTCACCCACCAGTGCCAGAGCATTTAAAAAAAATTTTTTTTTTCAGTCCTTTCTCAGTAATTGGTTATTGGGATGTGTATTTTTCCCCCCCAACAAGCCAAGCTCCGTGAGAAGGGTCTGAGGCACTCACCCACCAGTGCCAGAGCATCTGGGCCCTGTGGCTGTGAGCCTGCACGTGTGGGTCACTGTCCTGCACGGACTGAGAGCATCATTGTTCCCTTCAGGGCTCAGTGCCAAGATGACCAGCAGGGGCGTCTGCGTCTGCATCAGCACCACCTTCGAAGGGAACCTGCTGGAATCCTATTTTGTGGACATTGAGATCCAGAAGCCACTTCGGATACATCACCATTCAGTCCCACCCTTCATCCCCCTGGAGCAGCTGTCTGCAAAGTATTTACAGACTGACATTCAGCACTTCCTGTTTCGCCTCCACGAGTACCTAAATGCTTACTCTGGAAGGAAGTACCAGGCAGACCGACTTCAGGTACTGGCATCTTACCTGTGTTTCTGGGCTCAGGATGGGCCTAGAAAGAAACAAGGGGGCAGCTTTTCTTTTGTACATTGGGTGGATCTGGAGCCACTCCCAGAAGGGCGGGGGTCAGCGGGGCTTGCAGCTGGGAAGCACATGCTGGAGACTATCCTGCATAGCGAGCGTGTGCACTGGCCCCGGGCACCCTCCGGGGTCTTTTCTGGATCTGAGTGGTACGTGACATGACACGGGACCAGCAGTCTGACAAGTATCCTTTGCTGCTTGTGTAGTTTAGGGTTTATTTTGGCAGGGTGGGGGACAGTACTCTCAGAAGTACTTACGGGGCCCCGCGGTCACTTTTGGTGTCATTGTTTGACAGTTCAGTCAAGAAGTTTCGGTGCTGCAGGGGTCAGTTGATGCCTGGGACGGGGGTGGGGGGCGGATCTGTGTAATGCTGAAGATCATACTTGGAACCTTGTGTGTGCCAGGTATGCTATCTCCCCGGCCCAGATACTCGCATATTATTGATCAGTTTGGGTGTTTATTGACCCGGTGGTGCTTAGGGCGTACTCTTAGCTCCTTGCTCAGGGATCACTCCTGAAGGGTTTTTGAGTGACTGTCTGTGGTGCCAGTGTCCCCTGCTCCTGTTGCTCCCGCCCCTTGCATGTTATTTATATGTAAGCTGCTTTCTGTGTGATTTCCCCCTATTGAAACTCTCCATCAGTGTTTTCAACCTTTTTATGCTGGGACTAGTGGTTGAAAACACCTCTTTCAACCCTCACCTATGAAAGTGCAGTGCATCTCAGTAACTGAATGTCGGGTGGGGGGGGGGGGGGGAGGGCATGAAACTGGCAACATGCCAGAGGGAGAGGACAGTGGGTAGGGCCTTGCACCTAGCTGACCCGGGTTTGATCCCAGGCATCCCATGTGGTTCCCCATGCATAGCCAGGAGTGGTCCCTGAGTGCAGAGCAAGGAGTAATCCCCTGAGCATCGCTGGGTGTAGCCATCCCCCCCAAAAAAAACTCTGGCAACTGTGAAAGGTTTCTGAACATGAAACAGCCAAAAATGAATCCAGAGTCAGTCACATCCCGAATCCTAGGAGTTTGGCTCCCCCAAGCTGGAGTTCTCAGGCGAAACGGGGTTGCATGTGGGAAAGGTCTCAAGCAGCCCTACGAAGGCGCTGAAGCAGAGGTGCTGTGGGGACCCCTCACTCATGGCTCTAAAGTCCAGCAGCTCTCCCCCAGTTCAGCATGCTTGAGTGTTCTGCTGAGCCCGAGGGGTAGAGAGTGACCCGCTTTCCGCAGTAACCCGCTTCACCTCTGACCTTCCTTCTCGCCAGGAAAGAAAGTGAAAGACGTGGTGCAAATCACAGCATCACTCCTGCTGGGCATTTGGAATGACTCGAGATTCTGTTTCCAGATCAGTGTCGGCCTGAGGATGCAGGCATCGAGTAGTCGAGGGGTCTCAGAGATGGCCATGTCCTTACTCCTTTATTTCTGTGAGAGTTGATGCAAGGGCTCGTATTTGTGAACGCTGTCACCCTTGGAGCTGCTGACGCCCCCCCCACTTCCTGTCTGACCCTCCCCCACCAGAGTGACTTTGCAGCCTTTCTGGTCGGGCCCCCGCAGAGAAACGCGCTGTGCAACTTGCTGACCTTTACTTACAAAGTGGAGCCCAAGAGCCCGTCCTCCCCATTCTGCGCCAGACTGGTGTACAAGGACCTCGCTGAGTCCCTGCCCACTGCCGTCACTGTCACTGCTCAAGGTAAGAGGCGCCCTGGGGACGGGGCGGCCTGTGCGCTGGGCCCCTCCTGTTCCCTTCACTGGCTGCACCACCCTTTTTTCCTCCGGTCTGTGTAAGTAAACTGCCGTGTTCTTTTCCTTTGCTCCCTCCTGGCCAGGGTCCCCTCCCCTCTCTGTGGTCTCATCACAGCCCCTCTTGAAGCGCTGGCAAAGGAGTCCTGGGTCCTGGGGTGCCGCGTGCTAAGGGGAACCAGATACCAGGCTCTGAGTCTTCTCGGATGGGGATTTTGGCCCTCGGTGAAAGAGGTTTCTTGTGACCTTGCCCCTGTCAGTGGACCCCCGTGATGGGACGCGGGCAGTAAAGGAAAATGAGCTAAGGGCTGGAGAGAGCGCACTTGCCTTGCATGTGGCTGACGCAGGTTCAGTCCCGCCACTGCATAGGGTCCCCTGAGCTTGGCCCCAGGTTTCCCTGAGCACCCGTGGGTGTGGGACGGAACCCAAAAGGGGGAAAAAGGAAAGATGAATCGTGGGTTCCTTGGAGGCGGTGGGCTCAGGGGTCTGTACCCCGGGATTCTCTGGGCCCTGTCTTGTTTCTGGTGTCGGGTGACTGCCCAGTGGCAGCAGCTTCTCGGAAAGTTGCTGTGGTAAGTTGCTGCGTGGGTCCCGAGTGCCGTTGCCCTCAGGAGCCTGATGGGTTTGTTTTTCAGGGGAGGAACAGCAGGCAGCCCACGAGGACCTGTTCAGGACCAAGCCGCTGCACCATGTGTTTGCTGCGTTCTCGAAGGAAGGAGAGAAGATGTACGCGATTTTGGCCTCCTAGGAGCCTCCAGCAGGGACGGAGCCCTGAGAAACCCCCTCCCCTGGAAGCCCTAGACGGGGCGTTGGGGACAGCCATCCTTGATTGCATTGCCCCTGCCGGAATATGCGGGACCACCTGGTCTTCGGAGACACTGATGGGATATGGAACACGACCAAGCATCTGTTTCAGCTGAAAATCAGAATGGGATGTGGGGTGACAGAGGCATTTGTTGACAGCAGAAATGTTTGTCCTACCTCATATTTTAAGTACTTGAGAGAGAATACTATAGGTTCATGATGTGAGCAGAATCACAAACTTAATGTGTACTTGCTTTAAGAGCAGGGGGTAGTCCAGGTCTAAAATAATCAGGGTTTGGGGCCCGAGAGATAGTACTTGCATTGCACGTGACCAATCCGGCACCCTGTATGGTCCCTGAGCACTGCCAGGAGAGACTCCTGAGCTCAGAGCCAGAAGTAACCCCTGAACATCACCAGGTGTGGCCCAAGTCACCCCCCATCCAAAAATAAATCAGGGTTCTAGGTTCCTAATGTCTGTTTCCTAGAACATTTTGCTTGTAAGCTGGTATTAAGTTGGCCGTGGAAGTGGCAGGTTGCACATCCGTCCGCTGCCATCTCCTCGTCTCCCCAGTGAGGGGGTGCCCTGTGTCTTCACAGCCAGGCAGCGAGCCGCTGCCATTTCCGTTCTTAGCTCCTGGTCATGACGGGCAGGGGAGAAGCACACCCGTCCCCCCCAGGGCCTGCTTACAGGCATCTCAGTGCAGCCCCGCTCCCTGTGGCTCACCGAGGCCCAGCACATCGGGAAGGACGCAGGCGACTGACTGCACGTGGGCCGCGTTCAAGTTGAATATAACTTTTAATAAAACTTCTCGTTCTTTACAATACCTGTAAATTCTCTTTTAAAGCAGTAGCAAAGGCGACTGTAGCAGGAGCTCGAAAGGCAAGGCAGTATCAGAAAAGTGTTTTTGAACAGAAAGTTAAAAATATAAATGTAAAAGATCTGTTGATATATTTTCTCTCAGAAATAGACCCATCTCTCCCCCTCCCCCCCCGCCGCCCCCCAGGTGGAAGGAAATATTGCACTCTCTGCTCTCAGGACTATGGTGACGGGTTCCAGGAGAACCTTTCAAGATTATCAGGAACGTCGGGACGCGGGCCGTGCCCAGCTCCAGGGGCAGCGCTGCACGGCGCCCCCCCCACCCTGCAGTGGGCTCCGCTCTATGCCTACGACCACGACCCTACTCTGGGGAAGCTACCGGCTGGCGGAGACCGTGTGGCTGTGCCCGGACAGGGGCTCCGGAGGAGCCGGTCAGCCCTAAGTCTATGTGAGTGTCGCCGGTCGCGGGGCCGGGGGCGGCTCCCCTGCTCCCGGCAAGGCTTCAGGGGTTGTCCACCACCTGGTGGGGCAGCGTCACCGAGGACCCGTTGGGGAAGGCGGCCGGCTTGTCACGGCCCTTCAGGAAGAAGGTCAGCAGCTCGCCCTTGCCCTTGACGAAGATGGGCCCGCGCCGCACGAAGCGGAAGCCGTACTCGCGCAGGATGATCTGCGTCTCCTCCACCACCTGTGGGTGAGGGGCAGGCTTGGGGGGTTGCCAGGGGAGGCGTCCTGCACCTGCCGCCCCGCCAACTCCGTGCCCGGCAAGACGCATGTCTCCCCGCTCCGTCCCTGGACGTGAGTGAAGCTGTGACGCACCTGAATGTTGCCCATGACTCCCGTGGACTCCATCCTGCTGGCCACGTTGACGGTATTGCCCCAGATGTCATAGTGTGGCTTCCGGGCCCCGATGACCCCGGCCAGCACCCCGCCTTTGTTCATGCCTGGGACAGAGGCATGACGTTCAGGACAGCCAGACCCCGGGCGGCTGATCCGTCAGCAGCTCACGCGCTCCCCAGAGTCTGGGGCGCCGAGCCCTCGCCCTCCCCGGAGCCGGCTCCTGGCTGCTGAACTGAGGGGCTGAGCGGTCCCTGCTCCCACGTCTGACACGGGCACCTGGACGCCCGCATCCCAGGAAGGACTCGGAGGGACCAAGGTCGGGAGGGCCTGGCCTGCAGCGCCCTCCGGCCTTACCGATGCGCAGCATGAAGTTGTTGAAGGACTGGTTGTTGATGTTCGTGAGCGTGTCCTTCATGGCCAGCGCGAAGTCCGCCAGGTCCGCCAGGTGCTGCCAGCGCTCCTTGTCCGACTTTTCGTCCTGGGGGGGAGAGTGGGACCAAGTGAGCGCCGCTCAGCCACTTGGTGGAGGGGAAACCCTACAACTTGTTCTTCACCCAGGGCCGTGGTGACCGGCCTGCAGCAAGAGGGGGCCTCAGCAGCCCGTGGAGTGAGAAGCTGATGGGACACACCTCCTGGGTCCCGCCCACAGCTGCATCCCACAGACAAAACGCAGTCAGGTGGTAAGAGCTGACCTAGGGCCCTCAGCCCCTCCCCCCCAGTGCTGGGCAGCCAATTCCACCAGTTCTCCCTTGGGGGGGGGGGCAGAGATAAGGGAGAATAATTGGGGATGCTCAGGAATTCCTCCTGGCAGTGCTCGGGAGGCCACATGGGATGCCAGGGAGTGAATGCGGATGGCCACATGCAAGGCAGGTGACTGATCCCAGGGCAGCACTAATGAGTGAGCCTAAGGCTTGCGCCCACCTAGGACACCATGAAGCCTCCCTGGTCGGGGCGGTGCGGGGGTCCACGTGCTCTGCTTTGCACATTCAACTTCACAGGCACCCCTGTTGTGTTTGCATCCATGGCACTGGTGTCTGACCCCCTCGTCCAACTGAACTCTCTGATGGCACTTAGGCATGCTGGGGTATGGGGTCCCCACCTCGGAACGCCGAGCCCCCCTCCACCAGCCAGCAGGCGGCCAGCTACCTTGTTGGAACTTGTGTAGCCATTGGTGTTGATATCTGGGTTCACTCCAGAAGCTGCCATATAGGTGCTGCCAATGGTCTTGATCTTGGTGATGACCCGGAATTTGGGGTTGTCCAGGAGCTGCGGCCAGTGTTAGGGAAGAGAAAATGTCACTGGAGACGAAGACCTCGCCCTAACGGCAGCTCTGCCTTGTGGGTTTGGTTTTGGGGTCTCAAGCCTTACTCATAGATCTGTGCTCAGAGATCACTTCTGTTGGGGCTGAGGGGACCATATGCGGTGCCAGGGATGGAACCCAGGCTGGCCATGTGCAACAGCCAGTGGCCTCCAGGTGAAACTGCCTATGAACAGGGATCTGGAGGGACAGCCCAGAGAGACCAGCCTAGAGGTCACGCACCCCTCTCAAGGCTTTTAATATCCAGCTGAGCCTCCCTCTCTAACTTCACTCTGCTACAATGTTGCCAGCCTTTTAAGGCTGTGAGTACATACACAGATTAAAAAAAAAATAGGAGTTGCCAAATGAGTGTTTCCTGAATTGGGGATAGACAAGACTCAGAGGGGCTGAGGGTCTGGCTTAGTGCTGGCCAGCCAAGGTCCCAGCCCCTGTGGCCACAGGCAGCCAGGCCAGGCAGGCCAGGCTACTCACAGAGTCAAAATCCGAGATGATCTCGTTGAGGAAGCGCAGACACTCGATGCCGCCGTTGTTGATGGCCTCCTCTGTGTAGAAGTCGGCGAAGTTGGGCAGGGAGGCAAACATGACTCCAATCTCGTCGTAGGACTGGCTGTAGAGCTCCTGCAGAGACGGGGCTGAGCGTTGCACTCGGGGCGGCCAGAGGGAGGGAGGGAGGCCAGCCCCCCTCCTGTGGCTTTCCTGCAACTACTTTCTGTGGGGGTAGGGGGCGTGCCCAGCAATGTTCGGGGACCATAGGCAATGCTGGAGATCAAACCCAGGCCTACTATGTGTGAGGCAAGCGCCTTACCTCCGGAACCCCCTCCTGTGTTCCACTGTTTGGACACACGTCTAAATGAACTGGAAACACTGCCCTGGACACACACACACACACACACACACACACACACACACACACACGTGTGTCTAAATGAACTAACTCAGCGCTGTCTTACCAGAAAGCGGCTTATCAGATGTGTAATAAAAATCACTGCCCTGGTCGGGGCATGGGGACACACACACATACACAGCCTACACCCCACCCCATCCCGAGCTCCCGAGCTCCATCCTCGGCCCCCCAGGTGTGTGAGCCCTCAGGCACGGGTCCATTCTGCCCGGAGGCTCTACTCGTTGTCTCCCAGCGCGTGTCCCCCCAAGCAGTACAGCAGCACCCTGACCTCGTCCCTCTTCTTGGAGCCCAGGAAGTGGCGGGCCACGTGCTCAGGCAGCATGTTGGTGACCAAGGCCTCATTCCAGCGTCGCATTTCATAGACCCGCTCCTTCTGGTCATGGACCTCAATTTTCCACAGGAACAGTGTCCGCGCCAGTTTCTCCACCTGAGGCAGGGGACAGAGATGGGGTGCGCTCCAGGCTGGGAACCCCCCCCCCAGGGGGCACGTGAGAGACTGAAGGGGAATGCTAGAGGCTGCCGGGTGATCCCAGAAGGCTGCGGGGGGTGAGGGGGGCCAGTGGGTGGTGGCAGCGGGGGTGCTCAGAGCCCAGGGACCCCCATTTCCTGCAGGTGCCTTTGGGTGAGCCGTGGCTGGGGAGGCTGTAGTTCCTACAGCCAACCACTAGGTGGCACAGGAGCCCCAGGGCCCTTCCTGGAGCCCTTCCCTACCCCGCCAGAACTTTGTCCCCTGGGATCAAACCCCACTCTGGGTCAGTATGTCAGGGACCCAGGGTTTTCCCTGAGCTTCCCCCAGGACTGGGACAGCAGCATCTTCCTTGAGTGATCAAGGACGCCAGTGCTAGGCTGGCAGGCTTAGGGCCATGCCAGGGGAAGGCAGCTGGCTTCCTGGACGAGTTGGGGCTAAGGCGGGGAGGGTACACTGCAGGACTGCAGGAAGTGTGGGAGACACTCACGTGGCGGGAGAAGTAGTAAAAGCTGAGCATCATGAAGAGGATCATCACGGTCATGGAGTACTTGGACGGCACCAGGGGCAGGCTGCTAGGAGAGGTCGCTCGGATCATACCCATAACCCCCCACGGGCTCTGCGCCTTCTCGAGCCAACGGGCAGTGACACCAGTGTCAACCCGCCCCTGCCCCCTCCAGCTGAACCCACGGGACTAAGTCATTCCCTGTAGCATTCGAAAGTGGTGGAACCCAGGAGCGCCCATTAGGAGCATGCGAGAGCCACGGCACTTCTTAGCAGCCTGAACTAGCAGCGCGGGATTCCTCAAATGCTGTACGAGGGGCCGCTGAGAGCCATCCCGTCCTTTGCTGGGGACTCTCGGACCTTCCTTTGAAGTGTGGACTTCACGGTCAGAGGCAACGGAGAACTTCCAAGGTCCCCCTCGAGAGGGGCCTGGACACGGGCCCGCGTCTCAGTGGGGGGTGGGGGGCGAGGGGGTATCCTCTTTCCTGCCAGAGCAGCTTCCATGCTGCCTTCCCTCCCACCCTCCTGCCCGGGCAGGTTGAAGCCTGCGCCTGAGCACCCTCAGATCCGGGCTGCCTCTGGGGACACAGCAGCCAGGATGCGGTAGGCCTCCTCGGGGGTCTGGCCCGGGTCTCCCCTGGGCCCAGAGCAGGAGGGGCCTGTACCCCCCTTACCTGTCGGTGCCGTTGAGTGCTGGGGCAGGAAGAACCTGCATCTTCTCCAGGGCAACCATGGGGAAGCTATGGCACAGAGAGGTGCGCACTCAGCCTGGGAGCAGCCTTGCCCGCCCTCTGGCCCCCGGGCCCCCACACCAGGCTCGCACCAACCAGGGTGGGCAGGTGAGGCACCGTGAGCTTCTGAAGTGGCAGGGGCGTGACACACAAAGCCACTTCCCTGCGGACTCTGGGGCGGTGGGGTGGGGGGGGCGGGAGAACCGCAGGGCTTCCTCTTACTCGTTCTCTTGGAAGCGCCGGTGGTCGTAGTCGTCGAAGATGGGGCGCCAGGCATAGATGTTGACGACGGCCACGGCGCCCGAGACCAGCAGCATGAGCGTGAGCTTCACCATGTGGCTGACCTGCACCAGCATGATGCAGGCCACCAGCGACAGCACGGCCACGTAGTTGTAATACTTGGGGTTCTGCACACAGCCATCCACCACCTCCGGGCCTGCGGTGACGTTGCCGGTCCCCGTGTAGTACTGGAGGCAGCTCAGCTGGAGGTGGGAGACACGGGCACACACAGACGACTGTCAGCGGTGCCCCCTTCCATGGCCACAGCTTCCCAGGGCCCCCCAGGAATGATGGAAACCCCCCTCCCCCACCCCCTCTCCCTGCCAGGGCTGAAACATGGCAGACACATGACAGCGCGGGCAGTACTCAGCACCGCCGCCCTAGTGTCAGAAATGCAGAACTGCCCGAGAAGCACCTGCACCGGCGGGGAGCCAGAGCCGAGCCTGGCCTTGAGAACCCTGCTCCAGAACGTTCCCGTGCCATGTGGGCAGGACAGCTTGGCTCAGCTCAGGCGCTACCCCCCCCCTGCTGTCCCAGGCAGCAGCCGTGAGCACAGTCCAGAAGGCAGAGGACCCTAGCCCGGGGGAGTCTCAGCACGTGCCCTTCCTGGCCCGGGGCGCACTCCAGGCCTCTCTGGTCTCTCCTTCCACGGTGCAAAGGTTTCCGTGGCCGCAGACTCGGGAAACGGGAAAGACTTCTCTTCCCCATGCAGCCCGGGGAGGGGAAGGTTCCAAAGTTCCTCACTCTTTGCCTTTCAGGAATGTTAATCAGAGGACCCCGGGAATGTGTGTGTGTGTGTGTGTGTGTGTGTGTGTGTGTGTGTGTGTGTGTGATGGCATTTGGGCCCACATGGTGTGTGTGTGTGTGTGTGTGTGTGTGTGTGTGTGTGTGTGTGAGTGATGGCATTTGAGTCCACATCTGGCTGTGCTCAAGGCACCTTGAGTGGTGCTGAGGATCAAACAAGGGCCAGCTACGTGCAAGGCAAGAGCCCTCACCCCTGGACTATCTCTCCAGTGGCATTTTCTTTTTTTTTTTCCCCCAGTGGCATTTTCATCCCAGCACGGATCTCTATGCTGAGCTCTTCCCTGTGCCCAAGCTGCTGAAGCCCCTGATAGTAACAGAACATCACTTGGTCACCTCCCCAGCTGATGGGGAGACTGAGGCTGCCGTGCTCCGTCTCTGCGCCCACCCCTGCATCTGCTGCTCCGCCTCCTGCCTGCTCCTCAGGGTCCCAGGAGTGCTGCCAGGGCTGATGTGGCAGAGCAGGCTTGAGGGTGCCCCAGTCATCTGCACTGTCCCCGAGAGCCCTTGGCAAAGGCCATATAGAAGGGACCAGCACAAATTCGCGCACAGGGCGCTGGGTGCCGTGGTCCCGGGACAGTGAGGCACAGGAGGGAAACGGGATCAGAACCTTCACTCTGGGCTTGGGTTGACCGGCTGTGTCATCTAGAATAAGGGAAACGCCCCCCACCCCCCAACTGGGCCCTGCAAGTGAAACCAGAGGTAATGAAACCAAGTGTCTCAACATTGGTAGGTGCCCCCTGAGCCTGGCGTGTAGGACCAGGCCCCTGGGCCCTTTGGCGTCTGTTCTGGGGTCCCCTGAGGAGGAGGCCTCTCCCACTTAGCCAGGGCCATCTACTGGGACTCCGTGCCACTGCAAGCCGGTGTCCAGCTTGGGGGGAGGACAGTGCCTGAGCTGGCCACCGCCCATGGCAGGAACTCACCATGTCCACCACGTTGGCCATGACCAGGATGAAGATGGCTAACATGGCCCACGTGTTCCTGGCCCAGCGGGTCCGGTCAATCCAAGTGGAAAAGGCCACGAGCTTCTTAGGAAAGTTCTAGAAGGAGTGGGATTTCGAGAGTCAGGAGCCTTTATAGTCACTTTTCTCTTTCTTGTTTTCAGGCTGCACCCTGACAGTGCTCAGATTCAGGTTCTGTATGAGGTGCTGGGGGTCCAACCTGGCAGGTGCCAGCCATAACCCTGGGGCTCACTCTCTGCCCCCTCCTTACACAGGGCAGCTAACACTGGGAATGCAGAGTCCGCCCAAGTCACCCAAACCCAGTGGCCAGCTGAGGCATTGGACTTCCGGTGCTGGTGTCGGTCCTGCCGGGCCAAATGCCAGCTGCACTGATTCCGTGCAGCTATCTGGGTACCGTGGGGTGTTTCCAGAGCAAACCCAGTGAACGGCCCCAGCCAGCAGTAGCCCACACCTCATTTCTGAGACCAGGTTAGGGGACACTTTGGGGGTCTATCTCCGCTGCTGTAGTGACCCTATGTCCATGCCCGCCCAGTGCTCCTACAGCGCTAGTCAAACGTCAAACCCCGGGCACCTCGCAGGGGGAGCCTGGTCCCTTAACTGCTTGTCAGATCCTCGGCTCTCAGGCATGTCCACTCTCCCACTGGCCATCGGCTCTCCCACAGCCCTCAGAGCCAGAGCCCGACCACAGAGGTCAGCGCCAAGATGGGCGGAGTGGGATTAAGGGATGCTGAATTCTGGGGGGCCGTGAGGGGCCAGGGGCACGCCTCTTACCCGGGGAAAGATGGAAGCCAGCGAGCAGATGGTCAGGACCAGGAGCAGAACCTCCCCCACCACAAAGGTCACATAGTTAGTCATGAGCCTGCAATGGAGGGAACGGAGGGACAGCGAGTAGGTGAGAGGCCAGGAGAGCAAAGGGGAGGTGCGGGGGGGCAGGGACGGCCCCGCAACACAGCAGTGGTGTGTGCCCATGTGTGTAGTGGGGGGCAGGGGGTTCCTGGGGGGGCTTCCCACTGCGTGCAGGGCTGGGAACACGTGACCCTTCCCGCAACTGCTAACTGGGAAGGTCCCTCCTGCCCAGAGGGAAGCCAGGCCCCAGAGGTCCCGGGCAGTACGTGAGGAAAAGTTGGGAAGAGACTCTCTGGAATGTTCTGTGACCAAAGCGGCTTCCTCCTTCCCTCCCCGCTGGCAGCCCCCACAGGTCTTGCTGCTGGCAGACTACCCCAGCAGCGATGATGAAGGGGAGAGACTGCACCAGCCCAGCCCCACGCCCCACTCCGGACTCTCCTCCCCTTGATGGGGTACTCTGCTGCAGAATGGCTGGGTGCAGCCTCCCTGCCTTCCCCAAGTGGTCACTGCGAGAGTCCACCCCAACCCCCGCCAAGCCCGGGACCCAGGTAGATACTTCAGAGGCAAATAGATCAGGCGCTACGGCGGACTCGGAGCAGTAGGGGCCATACTCCCCATCTTAAAGGCAAGGGGCCACTGGACGGACTGTCCATGAGGGCTCCAGGCTCTGGGGGCCCCCATGCAGGGGTGAGCTGACTGGCCCTGGGAAGGCCCGAAGGAGACCAGGGTGGCCCATGGGCCGGGTCGAGAACACCCCACCTTCCCCCAGGGGCTGCGGCTACGCTCCGTCTACTCAGGAGCTGCACCCACTCCAGCGCCAGGGGCAGGAGGCTGAGCCCAGGACCTTCTGAGGTGGTGGCATCCTCCTTAGCCTTCTGTGGTCCCCAGTTGGGCATCAGTGATATCACTGGTATTGAGAGGCACTGGCAGCTGATGGGAGGTGGTACCCATCTCAGAAGCCCCCAGGGCTCGGCGCGTCCTCACCAGGGGTCGATGAGGGTCTCCACGAGCGCCGTGCAGAACAGGACCACGCAGGAGCAGCTGAAGGCAGCCCCGCTCTGTTTCTCCTTCTCCACCGAGTAACGCGTCTCCATTTCGGGGTCCATGAAGCGCATGGACAGGAGGAAGGTGTTTCTCTTCTTCACCCTGGGGTGGAGCGAGTCCACGACGCTAGGACACTAGGAAGACTTTCCTCTGGCCAGCACCCTCATGGCCCAGCACTCACTCATGTGGCCCCAACACGCCTGGCCCAGCACTCACGTGGCCCTGACACACCTGGACTGGCACTTATGTGGCCCTGACACTCACACCCAGCTCAGCAGTCACGTGGCCCTGACACACTCGGACCAGCAGTCACGTGGCCTGACACACCCGGCCAGCACTCACGTGGCCCTAACACCCACACTGGCCCAGCAGTCATGTGGCCCTGACGCTCACACCCAGCTCAGCAGTCACGTGGCCCTGACACACTCGGACCAGCAGTCACGTGGCCTGACACGCCCGGCCAGCACTCACGTGGCCCTAACACCCACACTGGCCCAGCAGTCATGTGGCCCTGACACTCACACCCAGCTCAGCAGTCACGTGGCCCTGACACACTGGACTGGCACTCACGTGGCCCTAACACTCACACCGGCCCAGCACTCACGTGGCCCTAACACTCACACGGGCCCAGCAGTCACGTGGCCCTGACACTCACACCCAGCTCAGCAGTCACGTGGCCCTGACACACTCGGACCAGCAGTCACGTGGCCTGACACACCCGACCAGCACTCATGTGGCCCTAACACCCACACTGGCCCAGCAGTCACGTGGCCCTGACACACCCAGCTCAGCAGTCACGTGGCCCTGACACACTCGGCCCAGCAGTCACGTGGCCCCGACACACACCCGGCCTGGCCCAGCACTTACACCTGCGCAGACTCGCGCTCCAGTAGCGCCTCATTGAGGAGCTGGTTGAGCTCGTGCTCGTCCTGAGAGGCATCCGCTACGCGGTCAGCCAGGTCCTGCAGGCGCAGCCTCCGGCGGGGATTGGGAAAGGCGGGGTTGTCGGCCTGGGATGCAGGTGGGAGTTGGGAGGGGGTGGAGAAAGACAGGGTGATGGAGGGGCGGGGGATAAAGGCTCACACCAGGCCATGGGGGGCAAGGCCCAGCTCCCAGGCCATGTGGCCCCTGAGCCAGCGGCTGCAGTGGTGACCCCTAATGTGGTGGGGGCCAGCCCCTTCATCCCCCGGCCACTCTGGCACTTCCTGTTGCAGGAACGGAGTGTTACACAGGGAAGGACTGACCCCTCTCCCCTCCTCTCCCCCGGTCCTGAGGGTGGGGATCTGGTTCTGGTTCCAGCTGGAATGCCCTGGACAGAAGGGGCCCTGGGAGGGCGACAGTCCGGCCTGTGGCTCCCCCTTCCTTAGGAAAGTCACCCCGGGAAGGGCCACCCTTTGCGACGCAACAAACACCATCCCAGGCACTCGCCCAGCACACATTCAACCCTGGTACTGTGGATGGTCCCTGAGCACTGTGCCAAGAGCAGCTCCTGAGCACTGCTGGGTGGGGTGCGACACCCTTTCCCTACCCCCCAGAACTCGACTGACTTTAAGCCCCATCGACCTTGTCCTGCCACACCTGAGCAGGCCCCAGGAAGCCCCTCACCCAGGTGCCCCCACCTCAACCACCGGGTCAGGAACTTGGGTCTGGGCGCGGGAGCCCTGCCCCGATGTCACTCCCAGAAGCTTCAGATGCTCTGGGACATTCCAGGGATGCAGGACCCTGAGGAGGCCTCAGACCGGCACCTCTTGGACACGCCCTCCCCCTGACATAACCGAAGAGCCAGTGGGGCGGCACCTGGCCTGGGAGCACTGCTGTGGGAGCATCCCCAGCCTGGCCCGGCCGTACCTCAGTCTCCTGCTCCTCTGGCTCCTCCGTGTGGGCATCGCCATTGGGCTCCTTGGTGTCGGTATCGATGAGGATCGGGGTGTTGGGCCTTGAGGCGGTGGGCAAGCCATTGGGCACCTGGGCAGGACCGGGCGTCAGGAGGCGGCTCCGCGCCAGCCACGCCCCCGGCCTCGCCCCCGGCCCCGACTCGCCCACGCCTCACCGTGCCATTCTGGGGTTTCTTCACGTAGGGCCCCGACGCGATGACCAGGTAGGTCTCGATGCCCTTCTCGTCCAGGTAGTCGCAGCGGCTGCCGCCGTCCCCGGGTTCCACGTCGAACTCGCCCTTCAGGCAGTCCATGGTGCTCTGGGAGATGTGCACGCGCCTGTGGGCACGGGGTGGGCCAGGATTCACTGAGGGGGGCTGCAGGGGTGCGTGGAGGGGGTTGAGGGGTGCAGGAGGGGCACATCAGGGGTGCTGGGGGCTATGGGGCGCTGCAGAGGGCCCTGGAGAGCTTCAGGGGTGCAGAAGCCTGCAGGGATGAGGGGATTTTCGGGGGTGCAGGAGGTTTCAGGGATGAGGGGGTCAGCAGGAGTGTGGGGGGCCATCGGGGACTGTGGGGGTGCTGCAGGGATTCAGGAGGCCGTGGGGGCTGAAGGGGTGCAGGGATGAGGGGCTTCAGGGGTGCGGGGGGGGCTATGCGGGACTTCAGGGGTGTGGGGAGGTAAGGGGGGCTGCAGGGCTGTGAGGAGCTGCAGGGGTGCGGGGGAGGGGCTGAGTGGGGCTGCAGGGGTGTGGGGAGGTGAGGGGGCTGCATGGAGTGCGGGGGTGCGGGGCTCACCCTGGGATGCCCCCGGCCTCCATCTTGTTGGCCACAGTCACGTCTGTGGACCACACGTCGTACTGCCAGCGCTTCTGGCCCAGGACGCCGCCCAGCACGGTGCCCGTGTGCACCCCCACACGCATGTCCACCCCCGTCTTGGTCTTCTCGCGCACGTACCTGCCGGCGCACAGGAAAGGGGGGGTCACTGCAGCCCCCGCCCCACCCCATGCAGAGTCTTGCACGGCCTGGGTGCGGCCGAGGCCGTCACGGCTTGGGGGGACACGGTGACCCTCCATGCGTCTGGTGGGAGCGTGGAGGCACAGCGGCCCGGGGACACGACACCCACAGCCTCTCGGCCGCATGCCTGACCCTGCCCACCGTGACCCCAGATCCCGGCCAGCAGAGTGAAGCCCCTGCCTGACCCTGTCCTCAGGGACAATGTCTCAGCCAGGATGTCCTCATGGCCTGGGAGTCCCCACGCTCACCACATTGGCACCCAGAGAGGCGCCCCGGTGTCCAGAGGTGTCCAGGGCCCTGGGACAGGGGAGTGGGGGTGGGGACTCAGGCAGGGTGCCCATGAAGCCCCCCAGAAGCCCTCCCTGCCACACTGTGACCGGGTGCAGTCAGGGGTCTGGCCTGGCTGGGGGGGGTCTCGGCGAGGAAACGTGATGGGGCACACCCAGAGGACCCCCCCCGGCGGGTGCCCGCCCCACTCACGCGATGGCCTCGACCATGGCGAGCCCCATGAGGATGGAGCAGACGGCGTGGTCCTCGCGGTAGTCGGGCAGCCCGCAGATGCAGTAGTAGCAGTCGCCCAGGATCTTGATGCGCAGCTGGTGGTACCTCTGGGGGCAGGGGCGGCGTGAGCGGCGAGGGGGGCGGGGCCACGGGCTGGGGGCGAGGTGGGATGGGAGGGGTGGGAGCCCGCACGTGGCACGTGTGTGGGTGGGTGGGTGGACGCGAGGTGGGAGCGGAGCAGGGCCGCCGGTCGGGATGCAGAGGGGTGACTGCTGGCTTGTGGGGGCAGCAGGGGGCAGGCAGCAGGGCCGCAGGGCCGGGGCGAGGCGGGACTGGGGTCCCCTGGCACTTACAGCCGCCAGCTTGTCGAAGCTGGCGAAGAGCTGGTTGAGCAGCTTCACCAGCTCCTGCGCGCTGCAGCCGGACGACAGCTGGGTGAAGCCCACGATGTCCGCGAAGAGGATGCTGGGGGCGAAGGGGCACCGTGAGGCCCGCGGCACCAGGCCGGCCCCTGTCCTCCCCCCACCCTCCACCCCCGCCTGGCAGGGTTCCCCTCGTGCCCCCGCCCCGCAGGAAGGCCCCAGTGCGGGGGGGCAGGGAAGGTTCCGGAAGGAGGCTGGCGCACCTGACGTTCTCGTGGCGGTACATGTACATGGTTGTGAACTGCTGCTGGTCCTTCTGGCTCTCGTCCTTCTTCATGTCCTTCAGCATCTCGTCGGCCACGTGTTTGGGCAGGATGGAGAGCATAAGGTTCTCCTGCAGGGGGAGGGGTGGTGAGGGGCGCCGGGGGACCCTCCCCACAGGCCCATGGCGGGGGTGTGCCCGGCAGCCCCCAAACACACCGGAACTAGAGGACACTCGTGCCCATGCTGGGGGCACTGCCCAGAGGGCAAAGTGGGGGTGGGGTGGGAGAGACCGGGCAAGCAGGCCGATGGCGGGCCACAGCCCAGTAATGGGAGGGCTGAGGAGAGTGGGGAGGGAGGAGGGAGGAAGGATGAGCAGAGGGAGGAGGGGGAGGACACGGGGCAGGCGGTGGGGCTGGAGGCTGAGGTGGCGGGCGCAGAGTGGGGCACACAATCCCATTAGCAGATCCCCGAGCACCGAGACCTGCTGGCAGGGTCGGACCAACCCCAGCCAACTACCACCAATGACCGAGTCCCCTAGTGTCCCAGCGAGGCCCACGCATTGGTTGGGCGTCCCTTCTGTGGCTCCAAAGCCCAGTGAGCACCAGCCCCAAGGCCGCCCCGGGGATCCGAGGGGCCAGGCCCTAATCCAGCTGCTTCCTGGGGGGCAGGGGCAGCTCCCAGGCCCCAGAGCAGGTGAGTGGGGCGGGGGGGGGGGGGTGCAGGTTTTACAGAAAGGAGAAGTAAGGAGCGTGGGGGGACGGATGGGGAGACCAGGCTGGGACTCGGGAGCCGGGACCAGCGAGGAGAGAGCTGCCAGAAGGTTCCAGAGGGCCAGAGCGATGTACACGGGTGGGCCCGTGCCTTGGACACAGCCAGCCCAGGTTTGATCCAATACAGGCCCTCGAGCACTGCCAGGAGTGATCCCTGAGTGCAGACCGGGAGTTACTCCTGAGCACTGGATGTGGCCCAAAAGAAAGGTTCCTGAGCCAAGGGAGAGAGTGACGGTGGCTGGGGAGGGGTGAGGGGGAAAGGCTCACAGTGAGGTTTGCGGGTTGCAGGGGGTACACTCCCACCCCGCGTGGGGGCCCTAGGGCCAGGCTCAGGTGGGACTGACAGCAGGGGGGTGGGGGGCAGGGGGGAAGCTCCTGCCCCTACCCCTGCCCCTGGCCCTGGCCCACTCTCTTCACCTCTACCTGTCTGCTCGCAGCACAGCTCTGCTCAGGAATAAAAAACCAAACAAGCCCAGAGTGCCCAGCCTGGTCACGGGTCCCGAAAGTAGCAGCGGGGTCTCAGGGGCCCTGCTGCCCAGGCCCAGGGGGAGGGGGCAATGGAGGAGGTGCTGGGCAGGGAGGAGGCACTGCAGTGAACTTTGAGGAAAAGCCGGAGGCACAAGCAAACAGGGTGCTGGGGGCAGGAGTCGGGGGCAGGCTCGAAGGAGTGTGAGAGTGGGGTCCCCCTGAGTACTCAGGAATGAGGTGCCCCCACCCCAGGGTGGCGGTCCCCCACAGTTGGAGCACCAGCTTGGCCTCCCTCTGCAGTCCAGGGACGGGAAGTTCCGGCACCCCCCAAGCGGCAGGAGACCCTGTGGTCACTTGGTTGAGCCTCGGTCTGTCTGGTCCTGGCAGTCTGAGGAAGGGCCCCAAAGAAGCCCCTACCCTGTCAGCTCAGCCTGGTCCCTCAGGGAGCAGGATCTGTGGGGAGGGAACAGAGGCCCCCAGGTGTGTGGGCAGCAAAGCAGGGGACACAAGCTGGGCAGCCAAAGCACCATGCCACCCTGTCCCCAGCCACTCTGACGATAAAACCCCGTGGCCAGTTCCCACAGGCGCAGATGGCTCCCACCCTCTCCATCCATTCCTCTTCCCTGTCCTTCCCGACCCCTCGGGCATCCAAAGCCAGTCCCCTCAGGCCCTGCAGGTCCCACCCTGCCCTGCAGGTGGAGCTCGTGGCCAGGCAGGTCTGTTTTTGCCTTTCTATCCCTGAACCTTTCTAAAAGGGCAGTGAGTTCTCGAGCAGAAGGTCAGCTAGGCCAGTCCACACTGAGAAGCCACCTCCAAAAGCATCATCAGCCCAGGTCTACAGGTCCTGAAGTTTCTGGACCACGCAGCCACAGCAGCCGCATAAAAGCTACCCAGCACCTCCAAATTCCACAGTACCGACATCAGATTAGATGGGAAAGGAACAGAGAAGCCAACTAAATGCAACAAACAAAAATGGTCACACAGTAGGCTCAACTGTGACAAACAGCTGAGTAAATCCTCAGACAAGGACTTAATAACCCCCAGAGTGAGATATAACCATTTGCACAAAGTATCTTTTGCTGAAATAGTTTTGATAATCCCTTTAGCCATTGAGTTGTAACAAGTGATATAAAGTACATTCCTGTGTGTTGCTAAGGGGGCAGGTTCGGGGCGGTGGTTGGGAAAATTAGGGGCAATGGTGGAGGGACGATCACTCTGGTGATGGGCTGGTGCTGGGACAGCGAAAGCCTGTAACAACCATGCTCTGAACAACGTTGTAAACCACGGTGTTTAAAGAAAGTATTATATATATATATTTTCTTTTTCCCTCCCGTTGATCATCGATTTGCTCGAGCGGGCCCAGTAACGTCTCCATTGGAGACTTTTGTTGTTACTGTGTCTGGCATATTGAATACGTCACGGGGAGCTTGCCAGGCTCTGCCGTGCGGGCGAGATACTCTCGGTAGCTTGCCGCTCGGTAGCGGGTAGGCGAACGCCCTACCCGCTGTGCTATCACTCCAGCCCAGCGATAGCACAGCGGGTAGGGCGTTTGCCTTGCACGCAGCCAACATGGCCGACCCGAGTTCGATTCCTCCGCCCCTCTCGGAGAGCCGGGCAAGCTACCGAGAGTATTCGATATGCCAGACACAGTAACAACAAAGTCTCCAATGGAGACGTTACTGGGCCCGCTCAAGCAAATCAATTATATATATATATATATATATATACATATATATATAAATCATATATATATAAATATATATAAATCAGCCAACCTCAGAAGGGTAAGTAAGTAAGGCTGCAGAGTCTGCCTCAAGGCAGCCGATGGAAAGGGTTTTTTTTTTTATTTTAATATATAATTCAATGACTTTTATTTTTATTTATCTTTTTTTTTTAGTGAAACACCATGGGGTACAGTTGTTGACTTTACAAGTTTTTGTACTTGGGCTTCAGTTATACAATGATCGAGTACCCATCCCTTCACCAGTGCCCATTCTCCACCACCACTGATCCCAGTATCCCTCCCACCCCCCATTCCCCCATCCAACCCTGCCTCTGTGGCAGGGCATTTTTGTTCTCTCTCTCCTTTTGGGTGCTGACGTTTCCCAAAGAGGCATTGAGTGGCAAACATGTTCGGTCTATAGTCTACTTTCAGCATGCATCTCCCACCCTGAAGGATCCTCCCAATACCCTTTACTTGGTGTTCCCTTCTCTGTCTGAGCTTCCCTGGAAAGGGTTTTAAACGCGTACACACAAACATACATGCACACGCATGCACACAAGCGCACACACACACACACACGGAGCAAGGGAAGGAGGGACAGCAAAGGAAGGAACATTCTGGTGAAGGAGAGGCTGGCCCAGGCCTGCCTGCGTCACAGCCCCCAGAGACTCTGTGACAGCCTCCCAGCGGGCCCACCTGGTGCCAGGCTCTGCTCCTCCTCCTCAGCCCACTCTCCCCAGGGTGCTGGGGTGTCCTCTAAGCTGGCTGGCGCCTGCACCCAGCACCCCGGGGCAGCCCTGACCCATGGCATTTCTCCAGGGCTTTCAGCCCCCACGGGCTCCCCCCGCCCCACTGTGGCCCCTCCAAGTGCAGATAAGCTGGACTGTTGGCTCGTGTGTGCACCCCTCTCTCTGCCCCTCATTTGCACCCACACTACTGTCTGAACCTCTGTTTCACCTCTCATAAAAGAAGTGAGGACACCTGGCGGGTAAGGGACTTGCCTTACATGTAGCCAACACGGATTCCATCACCAGGACCTCATATGGACCCCAGAGCCCCACCAGGAGTGATCCCTGAGCATGGGATCTGAGGTGTGCACCACGCCCCCAAAAGTGTGGGAGGTCAGCTGGAAAATGCACATATCTGCATGGCGGATGGACAGTTCTATTCTCGGGGCCCGGGTCAGACACCCCGATATTCAAGGGTTCGTGTTCTTAGAAGGAAGAACCAGGAAGGAAGGAAGGAGGCTGGGGTCCAGGCGCTTGGTGCGGGGCAGGGGTGGAGAGGAGGGGGCCCCCGGAGTGGGAGGCCTGCCCGGGGACCCCAGCGTGAGGCAGAGCCCGCACCCCTAAAATAGCAGTGGCTGTATATTTCTGGAGTCATCAGAATGTTCCAGGCCTCTGACCCACTCATGGCCCCTCTGGGAATTCATCCAACAGAAATAATGGCCCAGTGGACACAGCCGACCCGTCCACAGTGAGGCTCTGGCCTGCGGGGAGACCCTGAGCAGCCACCTGGGCGAGGGTGGACGAGGAACTGCTGCCAGGGCAGGGATGTCGCTGTCTCGGGGATGGGGAGGGACAGTGGCTGCAGCCCCTTTACAATGAGACTCATTAACGGAAACAAACAGGCACGTCCTGTGGCCCCCAGCGGCCCCACCTGCCCCCGGGCTGTGGGCAGCACATTTTCTTTCTTTCTTTTTTTTTTTTTTAGCACATTTTCTTAGAAAGGGACAAGCACTGATGATCCTGGGCAAGTCCCAGACCCCCAAGTCTGCATGGCTCAAAACAGAAAAAGGACCCCCATCCCCCTACCTCCCAGGGCAGATACTGAAGGCCCACCAGGGGTCCATGTCCACACTCTCCTGGTGGGTGGGGGTCTCCCAGAATTTCAGCCTCAAGTGGAACCAACAAACCATACACGACGCCTGGGAGGAGGTCACCCCACAGGGGGGCCAGCCGGCTACTACAGCTTCAGAGGGGGACACATGGGCTGCCACAAGGGCCCTAGTGACACCTGGTTAAGCTCAGGTGGCTCAGCATTACTCTCGGGATGGCCAGTAGGAGCTGGGCTCAGGGCTATCCCCACGTTCAGCCAAGCACATTCTGCACGACCTTTAGGCCAAATACCCCATTCCGGCCCCTGGAGCAGCAGCTGCCACATTTGGGA